CATGCTAAGCTTAGTTCTCTTGTCTGAGAAAATAAACATTAGAATCTGTGTTTGTTGTCAACTCTGAGTTGTATCTGGGAGACAAACAGGTCTCTGATAGCTTTCAAGCTTCGTAACAATTCCAAAATTACAGCTTAAAAAAACAAAAAGAAAAGAAAGTCTCAAGAGAAAGGACAGACTCAGGAGACCAATGGTCTCAGAGCCAGAAGCCAGGAACACAAAGCCAGAATGCAGAGAACACAAGTGTTAAGTAGTAAGAGATTAAGTGTTCTGTCAAAAGACAAAAAAACCCAACCAGCCGTTCAAGGTAACTGCTTTCCTCCAACAGAGAGCTACTCCCACACCTTTATCCAAGGAGAACCTGGGCCATGATGCTAAACCATCAGGATGGTACATATATCTGCATATAATGCTGGCCAAGAATAAAGAAACCAGTAACACTATTATAGTTAAATTACTCCCAGAATCAACAGCTAGGTGCAACTGTGACCCATTTTTAAAACACAAATCAATCTTTAGACCTGTCCTCTGGGGAGTCTACAATTGTCATCACAAAATGCCTTCAAAAAAATCAAAACAAAAGAGTGTTAACTCACTGTAATCTAAAGGGTGCGCCAACCATACAGGAATACTAAAAACAAAGTGGAAATCAAAGGTTGTCCATGCCTAAGTGTTCTTCTGTACTACTGAACACAAAGCTCAACCCCATTTAGTCAGGAATTTTCCCCCCACGCCTGTTATTTTAAAATACTCCCATTATACATTAAAGCAGCAAAATAATCCCTGACAGGAGACTTTTTAAATCCCAATAACAAAACAGTGAAAATTATGTTTACAATGCAAATTTATCACTGAAATTTGGATACTTTTTATGGAAAGTCAGATAATTTTCCCATGAAAAATACAAAATATTACAAACATGATGTATCTTTTCATTCCATACTTTCAGCAGTTTACTGTAATTGAGATATGCCTTGTTTTGGAGGTCCTATCTTGAACATAAAAACTTTCAGCACTTGGAATCTGTTGTTACAGAAGGGGATGAGCTCTCATGAGCAGGTATACCCAAACCAGGCAGCAACAAAAGCAGAAAAGAAAACAAAACAATGAGCATTTCCAAAGCTGCAATGTGGGGGCCAAGGAGGCGGGGTCGGCAGTACCCAGAAGACTTAATCAACGCGGAAAAGGTGCAATCAACACTTCTTAGCTTTAAACCAAACAACAGATAGAAGCAAAAACTCTTTAACCTCCTCTCCTCCAACCTCTGGGTCCAACCCCTTCCTACTCCTCACCCTCTGTCCCCAGGCTTTCTGGCAAGCTCTACCCAGAGTCAGTACAGCTTAGATACTGCCTAGGAAAAGCAGATTTGCAGAACAGGATGGGATTAGCACAGCTCTTCCACAGGAAAGAAAATAATTTGTCATTTGATCCTAGGGTTCTTTTACTGACTCCACCACTACCTACTGAAGACAACAGCCTACACATTAATATCCAGGTTTGGGATGCCTTCCTGTCCCAAACTTCAAGCCAGAAGTACAACCCCACTAATTAATTTCCATTTTAAACAAACACATTACTTTAAGGAATGGTCATTTAGCCAAGGGACCTGAAACCACTGAATGAGAAAGTCTACTCAGATATTGCCTACCACGTAAACACTAAAATACCAGCAAGAGGCTGGTCACTTCACCCTTCTTCCCTACCCCAAATTCACAAATACTTAACTCATAACTGAGTGCTTGAACTAAAAACGTTTGCTAGAGAAGCAGCTGGAGACCCAAGTAACATTCTAAAGTTTGCATCTTTCCAAAAACTTCCCAGAGATTTAAAAAAAAAATTATCTAGTTTGAGTCTGCATTTTCACAGAAAAATTCCTTTGGCAAAGGCTCTGAATATGGTTCTTACTGCTTTATGCTTTAAATCTTTTGGGAATAAAATACAGAAATAAAGGTACATAACCCTTTACATCTGCAAGTGAGGCTCTGTACACTGCTGTGAGTCTAAGTTTCTTTCAGCCAGAATGAAAACCCAGTCTCTCATTCCTGGCATAGGGCTATTTTAGGTCCTGGAAGCTTATTCCAGAAAATCTTAGCACATACTGCTAAAACCCTTATTAATTCTTCCTGGAAATCTAAGAGGCATGATTATGGGAACTTTAGCTAAGAGAGAAAAGGTGAGATTTAATAAGCCACATTCTACTTTGAGAGGTCTTAAAACAATTATGTAATTTCAAATTTGCCTAATCTCAGAAGAAGAAAGTTATTGAAATTTTAACCGTCCTGAAAAAGGAAAGGCTTCTGTGCAGAGTTGGGAGGGTCACCCCCCCAGTGGGAGGAGCCTGATTTCTCCAGACCTCTGGCTCTCAGGATCAGCTAACTGCTCTGACACACATCGAGGAATGATAGACACAGCACATTCCTCCTGACATCAACACTGCTGCACTAACGCTCAGAAGACCCACACTGACTTCCACAACAACCAGAGATTCCCTCCAGTGCAGTTAAGGTTTACTGTGCCTATAAATGGGACCAGCCCATAAAGCATCGCAATTCCTAGACAATGTACATCACCAATAACTCCTTGACCCCTCTGACCTACCAGAACACACGCAATATCATACCTTGAGCTATGGCACCGGAAAGACCTAGGTTCACAATGGGTTTCATCGCTTAACAGCCTCGTAACTTGATTTCTGAGCCTGGTCTCATTTGCAAAATAGGGGGAAAATCTAAAAGGATGATTTGAAGACTGAGATCCCAAACTAGCCCTCAGCTGGACTCTCATTTTCAGAGTCATGTTACCTTTGATCCTTAAACCGTTCATAATTTTTTAAGTGCTACATTTATAACCGAGACTGGTAGCTTACCTAGGAAAAAAGTCAAAGATCCATCAACTCCGGGCCCACATTTTGGTGTGGCAACAACCAGCTCCTTGCTGCTCCCTATAGACACAAACTCTATAGCTCAGTAGGCACTACTCTTCTCTCCCTGCTTCCCTCATTTATGTCACCTCAGTTCCCTGCAGGGATCTGAGCACACAACCAGTTTTAAGGATTAAAAACAAAATAAATAACTTGATGACTCACGAAAATACTTACTGAGACAGCTAGTATCACGAGCTTACTTGCTAACCAGCCTGGTGTGAAGCCTGGACTCTTCCTACTTTCACCATCTTCCTCTGCTTTCTGCCTCAAGATCACTGCCACGGGAGGTGTACCACGGTAGAAGACCCACCCTGTATCAGGTGCCTACGGCCCAACCCCAACTGCAAATGTTTCCGTGGTCGTCGACCACCTGCACCAGCTCTGGCTGTGCAGAGAAGCCCTGGGAGGGGGGAAGGCAAGCATTTTTATATTACCGTGACTGACTTACATACAGGGTAGCCAACTTCCAATCCTAGTCCTACAAACTGAACGTGCATGGCCAGGCCACTCAAGTTTCAATTCAATCACTGTGACAAACACCAAACTCTACAGCAACGTGCTCTGGGAACACAGGGCAGCTCAAAGCCAGCTCCACCAGGAACCACAGAAGACCAGGGGTGAGCCCCTCGGCATTACTATGCCGAGGGGCTCCCCGCAGGCCAGAGCTCCCCTGAGCTCCAGAAGCAGAACTTCCTTCACTCTTCTCCCACCTACGACAAAAACCAACCAAGCAGGGAAACAATCACCAACCCGAGGTTTCCAGGGTTTTGTGCTGCCTGTTTGGATTTACTCTTATTTTTAACCCAGCGTGCGTCCCCAGGATCAAACGGAGCCTGAGGGTGCAAACTACTCTCACCAGCCGCACTTCCAGCTGGCACGCTCGGTCACCTGGGGGGGGGGAGCGCAGATGCGAGGTAGGCGGCACACCTGTGCCTCCCAGAGAGCCAACTGGCCCACTCGCCCCTCGCCCCGACAGATGACGCAGAGCAGCAGTTTACTCAGGTGCCAGAACAGGGAGTGAGGCGGCGGAGCGGTAGCCAGGGAGACCAGAGGCAGTTGCCAGAGAAATGCGGCGCTGAGCGCCGAGGCTGTGGGGTGGAAGGGGGTGCGCGTGGGGGAGGGGACGGGCCCCCGCTGGGCTTCCAGAAGCGCCCCCCTGGCTTCTCAGCGCTGTCACGGAGGCTGCGGTGCTCCGGGCCTCCTTCACGATTGCAATGCTGCTGAAGGCACGTGCGGAGGGCCGAGGCCTGCAAGGTGCACCTGGCCAGCCGCCAGCGCCAGGCGTGCTCGGCCTCCCGCAGGGCCCTGGGCAGCCCTGGGCCCCTCACGAGGCCTCTGGCCTGGCCCGGGGGACCCCCTGCGACGCGGCTCCAAAGTCAGGGCCAACTGAACGACAGACGGCACCCGCTCCAGGGAGCGACCCGAGGGACGCAGCCAAAGGTGAGTGCCCTGTCCTTGGTCAGGGTGCCCACCACCCCAGCGGGGCTCAGGACTGGCCCAGGCCTTTCTGGCCAGCTGCCCCCCAGCTGCAGCTCCGCCAAACCTGAGGCCGGAGCAGAGGCCGCACCCCTTCCTCCCAAGTTGGTGCACCTGGCCAGGAGCTGGACTGACGAGAGAATGACAAAGCCAGGGCCACATGCACGACTGTCCTCTCGCCAGGCGGCGGGGTCAGGAAAGCAAAGGCAGGTGCGGTCTCCCCTCCCTCCACGGCTGCGCAGCCCCCACGTCTGCACGTCCGCCCGCCACGGCCCGCAGGACCCACCTCAGAGCCGCTGCCTCAGGCCTCCCCCGCGCGAAGCCCCGGCGCACGTGCCGAGCACCCACCCGCGTGCGACCCTACCTAGCCGACCCCGCCCCCAGAACGCGGCTCCAGCAGTCGAACGTGTGAAGCCATGTGACCGCCCGGGCCGGGCAAGCACGGCCCCGCACGAGGGGCCTGATCCCTCCGCCTTAAAGGAGCCGCGCCCGCCGCCGTCGTGGCGCTCTCCAGGCAACTTAGCCCCGCCGCGGGGGTCTCCGCCGCCCGCAGCCCCGCCCCACCCGGGCCACCCACCCCCGCCGCCCACTGGATACGAACTAGACTCGCGGGGGGCGCTGCGAAGCGCGTGAGCTCCCTGCGCCGGCGGCTTCGGGTCTCACGTGCGACGGCTGCGGGAGAAGGAAGTATTCCTGGCGCCGAGGCGCCCCTCCGACCCGTGGGCTCCCGTCTGGACATACACTCGAGGCCACCGGAGTCCGCAGCGCAGCCTGGAGGCCCCACCGGCCGCCCCCGGAGGGCCGCGGCGCCTTTAAGCCCAAAGGCCCTGAGTCACGAGGAGGCTCCCTGCCCCCCTCGCCACACGCCCCTCCACGAGGCCCCACGCCCGCGGGCACGTGACCGGCGCCCCGCCCGGGACTCGCGCTCACGGGGAGGGGAGCGGGAAGGAGGGGACCGCCGAGCCGGCCGAGGCTGCGCGCGGACCGTTAGCTGC